CTCTGCCTGAGCAGGCACCATGCCCGAGGCCCAGAGCACCCCTTCCTTCCTTTCTGCTCCCCAAGGCCACCCTCCTGAGGAAGGCTCAGCTGTCCCCTGCCCTCCACAGGGATCAGCTCTTTTCCTGGGCAAAGGGAAGCTCACAGGAATGAGACTTCTGGCACTTTTGTAGGCGGTGTCATCAGTTGTCCACCTAAGGTCTGTCCTCTTTCTGACTGTGTGTTCTCTATAGATTTGAACACCCTGTACCCTCTTGAATCCCAACCACGGAGCAGGGAGCTGCACTCAGGGTGATTATATGGGATTGTAACCTCCGTGTACACGTTTTATGAATCATTTCTACGGTCTTTATTTAAGATATAGAGTCAATATCAGCAACAAAGGCTGAGAGAAATTGTTGAAGTAGGAAGCATGGTTATATCTTATGTATAAAGAATGAGGGTGGTCCTCCAAGGGTTAGTGGGGATCATTGTTTTCATTAACACTTTCCTGAAGCAGAAATTCATGTTGCAAGATGAATTGGGCCAAATGGGTTTGACCTAATTAATCGGCTCTCCGTGTTTTGATGATTTGGAGGAAAGCTTCTTCCTCATCATTTCCTGAAATGTGGCTGATCGTGTTGCCTTTGGTCATCACAGAGGCACAAAGGGAGTGGCTGACTCAGGATTTCAGGAGCTCCCTGTTGGAGTCACTGCCCGGGTTAGGCTGAACTTCTCTCCCTTCTCCAGAGGGGGTCGCCCTGGATCACGTTTGGGAGACTACAGAGCAGGGAGAAGAGCTGGTTATTATTTTAAGTCATAGTATTGGAAAGGTAAACATTTTTTAGGATTATACACTCAGCATAGAATGAATTTAATTTAAAGAATCACTTCTGGCCTATGGAACAATAATGTCATAAAAGTTTGCTCTTAGTTTTATTGGATTTTTTTTTTTCAGTTGAAAAAAGAAAGGCAATTTTATTAAGTCTTTTAAAAATTATCAAGAATTGTTACATCTTTACAGAATTCCTGCTATCATTTTTGCCTATTTATTTCTAGGCCTTTTGCATGTTAATATTTTTATATAATTACACATTAGTAACATGAAATGTGTACATGCCTTTTTCACTATTATATAACATAATTTTTGTGTATGTCATGGAAACACATGGAAGTAAGACATAGGCATTTATGACTTTTGAAATTTGTCACTAAATTGTTTGACAGAAAGGTGTTTTTTTTTAATCCTCACCAGCTGATAAGTTTTCCACTGCTTTTCAGAGAGAGTGGAAAGGAGAGTGAGAGAGAAAGAAGCATCAATGTGAGAGAGACACATTGATTGGTTGCCTCCCACACACACCCGAACCAGGGTAGGGGATCGTGCCAGCAACCTTTGGCAGGAATCGAACCCGGGACCTTTCAGCCCCAAGGCCGACACTCCAACTACTGAACCAAACCGGCCAGGGCTGACAGAAAGTTTTTAATAGATACCATTAAAAAACAATTAGATCTACAATTAGTAAAGGTTGCTTTGCTCCTAAGAGACCATGGTATCTTGTGCAGAGGAGAAACCACTTGGCCCTTTCATGTATGAAACATTGCACTTGGTGCTGCTGTGTGTAAAAGATAGAATGTCAGAAAAACGGATACACTCTTTCAGCAGTCAGGGTGAAAACTGTTACATAATTCAAGAAATTAACTCAGTGGTTCTCAGTGTACTCACAGAGTTGTGCAACCATCGTCACAATTTAGAACATTGTCCTCACCAGGAAAGGACCCTTGTCCCCTTGAGCGGTCAGCCACTCCCCGTCCTGCCCCCTCCCCCGCCAGCCCCTGGCCACCGCTCACCTGCTCTCGGTCTCTGGGGGTTTCCTACCCTGCACACTCCCGATGGAATCTGACCGTACATCTCTTGTGAATGGCGTCTTTTATTTAGCACGATGCTTGCAAGGGTTACCCAGGTATAACAGTGAGGAAAATGGAAACAATTCCCATACGTTGTAGGAAATAGGAGCTTTTCCAGGGCTGTGGCTCAGGAGGGGTGTAGGACCCAAGGTCATGGCCTTTTCCCTGGTGAGGTCGTCGTGTGGAAACTGTTACAGGTTCCTGACTTCCCATAACGGTGGTCTTCCAGCCCACACCCCTTTCCATCAAAGGGAATGATAGAAACGATGATGATGGGAACTCAAAGGCAAGACCACACTCAAGCCAATTATGGATATTGGTTTATCCCTTAGATCATCTATTTATAGGATTGGCTCTGTAGCTTACTGTGCCAGCATTAATCATGAATTGCTAATGGGAGAGCATAAATAAGTCTTGGACAGGAGATGAGTGACATTTTGACAGTATTCATTGAATATATGTATAATTGTTCATCAAGTACATGAAACTAATTTAGAAACCTATCAATTAAGTCTTCTTGATTCTAGTAACAAATTATTATTGACTTTCTCTGTTCAAGAAGATTTGACTAGACATTCATGACCATTCCTTTTAGTTGGAAAATCTGTGATTTTGTTATTTTCTCTACCTGTCAAAACTACTAACAGCTATCCAAGGGTTTTTAAAGGAGTCAGACATGGAACCAGGAGAGCAGCCACGGTCAGACCAGGATTCCAACCCTTCTACCATGATTTGAAAGTAAAACTCCACTTTAACCTGAAGTATTTGTGTGACACAGTTGATTTTAAAGGGAAAAAGAGCAGGATAGATGATCTGATGGGTGGAGGTAGAGGCATATCTCTTATACTTATGTAAGTTTTACTAATCAATTTCTTTTAAAAATTATTTAAATTACAGTTTATATTCAACATTTTTTTGAACTAGTTTCAGGGATACACCATGGTGGTGAGACAATCATTACAGAGTGGTACTTTACAGAGTGGTCCCCTCAATATTTCCAGTACCAACCTGGCACCGTACATAGTTATCTCGATATTATTGACTATATTCCCTGTATTGTACTAATCAGTGTCCTTAGTAGAGTTACTGAGGCTTCATTATGGACATTTATTGCTTCAACTGTGCTTAGAGGTAAAGAGCCCTGACCCTTTAATAAGGAGAATATTTTCACACTGGCTCTTTCTTATTAGCTGTAAGACTTTTTCAATTAAATCAAGCACTTCGAATGTCTCTTTCCTCATCTTTAAACTATACATTATCTGTCTCTGAGGTACCTCACTCTTCAGCTGTTCATTCAGCGAGTATGTGCCGGGGGCCTTTGTGTTCTAAACACCGTGGAGGAGGCACAGATCAGTGCAGCCCCAGGGGACGCTGTGTCTGAGCCTGTGTCTGTCTGAGCATAGCTCTGTTTACCGTCTCCCGTTGCCCGTTGTGTGTTTCATGCTTCATTGCCCTGAATCCCTCAGTGACCATTTCTTTCTCTCTTTTTCTAAATATGTTTTTACTGATTTCAGAGAGAGGAAGAGAGAGGGAGGGAGAAATAGAAGCACCAGTGATGAGTCATCGATCGGCTGCCTCCTGCACGCCCCCTACTGGGGGTCGAGGAGCCTGCAACCCGGGCTTGTGTCCTGACCAGGAATCAAACCTGCAACCTCTTGGTTCCTGGGTCGATGCTCAACCGCGGAGCCACAGGCCGGGCTCAGTGAGCATGTTCTAAGAACAAGGACATTCTCCCACGTGCCACAGCACAGGAGTTAAGACGAGGAATTCAGCGTCGATGCAGCACTATTACCCAATCCACAGTCTATTTAACCTTGGGCATCGTGTCCTTCACAGCTGTTTTCAGTCCGGGACTGCACAGTGCATTTTGTTGTCATTTGTCTTTGGTTTCCTTAAATGTTCTTAACCTTGAGAAGAGCATAGGCTGGCAGTTTGTAGAATCTCTCTCAGTGGGGGGTTGTGTGCTGTGTGCATTTGCGTGCTCTTGTGTCTTTTCATTACCGTATCGTCTTCAGGCTTCTCTGCGCTTTTCCCGGCAGAGAAGAAAGAAATGGGACGTGTGCTCGTGCTGAGGAAGGGAGAGTTCAGGTTAGGACTCACTGGCCCACCCGGGGGGCGGGGACCCGCTGTGGGTTGTCATGTCTACTAAATCTAAATGTAGACTGTGAGCCTTGGGCTCCATTTTACATGCATTTACATCAGTGCGTTATTTACAACGTTTACCGAGTTTATCAGCTCAAGTTCCTTCTAGTAACCTCAGCCTGCTTCCTGAATCCTATATGTGCAATAAAAGTACAGATACTGTTTTGTAAATTAGGGCTGCAAGATGCATGTCAGGACTGTGGAAAGGCATGGGAAAAACAGCTGCAGGAAGGAGGTGGAGTTCTTGGTTCAAAGAGCTAATGAAGATTCGTTAAACTCGGAAATGAAAGACACAGGAAGATAACTGAAGTTGGAGGATTAGCTAAGTTACAGTCTAGCTCTCCTGCCCGAAAGACAATGGGTAGCATCTTAAATTATAAACAGGTTTTTCTGGGTTTTCCCCTTAAACTGGTTGTAATTTTTACAATTCGTTGTACCCTTAAAAAGTTGGCTTTTCTGACTGCCGAGGGATTTGTGGTGCATTTTCCAGCAGATGTTTATGACTTTGGGTGTCTGAGTAGAGGCGATAGAGTGAAACAAAGGATCTAAAGCTGGTGGGGCGGGCGGGAGTGGGTGGCGGCCAGTGCAGAGGGTGAGCTGTGGAGGCCGACGGAGCTCCGTGCCTGTGCCTGTGCCTCACGGCATGTGCTCTTTCCGCTGCCCGACTCTGCAGAAAGGAGCTGGTCGCCAAGCTGGCGCAGGCCGAGAAGGAGAAAGGGGACGCGGCCCAGCTGGCCCGCGAGTTCGAGGCGCTGACCGAGGAGAACCGCACCTTGAAGCTGGCCCAGTCCCAGTGCGTGGAGCAGCTGGAGAAGCTCAGGATCCAGTATCAGAAGAGACAGGGCTCGTCCTAGCTCAGGATCGCCCCGTGTGGCCGCTGTGTGCTGGCCCAGAGGGGTAGGGACAGACCCGGGCTCCCCTCCTCGCCCACACGGCCACCGTCTTGCTGGGCTGCATCTAGCCTGACAGGAGGGGAGTTCCCTCTAAATAAGAGGTGCAGCAAACCTATTACCCGTGTATGTTCTCTGAGATAATAATTTGTTTCCAAAGGTATTTTTTTCTTGTTTAGGAAGATATGGCAAATAGAATGCTGACCGACTCCACTAAGAACCTTAAACAGGATTAAGCCACAAACAGGCCAGTAAGATGCTCACGACTGTCCACATGTGTGCGTTTATAAATTTCACGTTGTTAATATTCCACCTGTGCTCTGGCCTGAAACTTCTCCACACATGCTCATCTCACCAGTTACATTCAGTCCCTCGTGATGATTGTACTAGGAATTAGTGGCCACGCAGCACAAAGCTTTTCATGAAAACGTTAGCAGAAGCGTGTCTGTGCCCACAGCACGCTGGCCGGGCCGACTTGTGCTGGGACAGGAAGAAGCAGATAGGGCCTCGCTTCCTCAC